AATTTTAAATAATGTGTGTGTTTTATGTTATTACTAAAATAGATTTTATTTGTTGTTTCTTTTAAGTACGTACTACATACGAACTCTTTGTGGTCTGAAGAAATAAGATTTGACATTGAAATCCCCCCTTTAAGATTTATTTCTGTAACAAAAAGAAGCGTATGTTCTTCTCATAGGTTCTTTCTATCTCAATACCAAAATTCATCAATATTGGTCCAGCGATTTAGGCGGGAAAATGTAACAGAGTTACTTTCGTATAAATAATTTCGTATTTATATTATTAGTTTTGATTTTTTACTTGACATGCTACATCAAAATATGCTGTATAATAAACAAAATTTGGAAAAAACATTCAGGGAAGTACTGCCACATTGAATGTTTCTGCCGCCAAGCAGTAATGTCAGCATTACTGTGTTCCGATTTTGAAGGGTACAGGTACATGGGACTTGTCAAGTTATGTCTCAGGGTGATGGGAGCAGTGGCAGTGCGCCTCAGATCTTTGCGATTTAAAAAGCTGAGTGGCACTGCAATGTTATGTACAGCGTATAGCTTACCATCAGGCGCACGACTTGTTCGTCCCGTCACTTGGTATCATTAAAAAAAAATTACATAACTTATTTTTAATACCGCACCCGCTCCGCACTATGGAGACTCTGTGTCACTGGTGCTAAGGACACACATATAGACAATAATAAATGACGCCCAAACTCACGAAAGAAATAAATGTGAGGCCGTACAAATATTTCTCCTGGCCCGGGAATCGAACCCGGGACCTCTGCGTGTCACATGTTAACCAGTGGGCAACGGAGGTTCTTAACAGGATACAGGACCACTCGCTGCCGGGCATGGTTGCCGCCATGCTCGGTAGCGAGGAGTCCTCGGAGGCGGTGGCCTACTTTTGCGAAGAGGTTATGTCGCAAAAGGAGGCTGCGGAGCGGGTGGGCGAGGATGCGGCATACGCGCACCCGCTTCGGCGCAAACGTACGGGGAGAAGGCGAAGGCAGTTCGCTGCTCGCCTGATCCCTTAGTGATGCCAGCAGGCTCTTGACAGGGACTTCGGAGCCTGCATTGCACGGCCTCTCTCGTTTGGGGGACGGGTCGGAGTACAACTGATCTGTCCCTCCGTTGGCGTGAGAGCCCTGGCGCAAGCTATGGCGGCCAGGCGGCGTCGTGGTGAATGTGCACCGACCCCACAGCGCCGACTCAACCGGCGGTAGGTAAACCCGGGGGGGTTTTAGTGGGGTAGGCCCTCCAGTCTGGAGGGAGAGTCCCCACATAAGTCTCAGGGGTATCTATAAAGATTTCCCTCCCGTAAAAAAAGGCAGTTAACAGGAAGACACTTTTATTTATTATATATATTTTATATATAGTAATAACAATATTATATACATAATAATAATATTTATACCAGTGATCGGAAAAATCCGGATGCTTATTTACCTACAATTTAGAGCTCGCTAAATATGAAATGCGCTTTTGTATCGTAAAAATACCGCGACACCAGGATTGTCGAAAATATTCAGTAAAGTATATCATTGAAGGAAAATAAACGTTTAAATTGTTATTTGTAATTATATGTATAGGTAAATTATTTATTGTCAAATTTAAAAGTTGAAAATGTAAAAACATAAGAATTAAAAAAAAAATTGGGAAACTAACGTGACACTCAGACATAATCACTAAACACACGGATTACTCACGTATTAAGTCGCATTTTCGCTCGACATGTTTATGTTATGTTGTGATTGGTTTAGAGGGTAACATAGGTTATTCGAAAATGTATTTAAAATATGAAAATTGTAACAAGTCACACCATTCTGACATTCCGGGATTCAAAAAAAGAAAAAATAAAAAAGTATTTTTTAAGCCGCTTCTATACTTACATAGCGAATCACGGGAAACAGTGAACTTTGGATATAAAAGCATGCAAATTTCCGACCACTGGTAATAACCTGACCTTGAAAATTTTTACTGATTTTGAGTCACTAAAACGTTCCAATGTCATTCCCCACTTTACCATAATAAGATAAAGCTAGAATTTATTGAGCTGTTGACTGGTTTTGATTTAATTTGTAAACTTATTTATACTAAATTATTCTACACTATCTTATCGTAATTAAAATACTCAAATCAAATGTTAAGTTAATTGGAACAGAGAGCTGCATGTTAGTGATATAGCTATTTTAGAAAGAAAAATACCGTCATTTTACTCACTAAATATCATCCGTTGATGTATTTTTTTAAATTTGTCATTTCGAAATTGTATTTATTTATAGAAAAGTAGCATTTTATGACATTTTTTACAAGCTAAGTCTATACTTAGCTTGTAAAAAATATTATACGTTACACCTTTTAATATCTAATAATTATACTACTGTTTTTAAAATCAACTTTCCCTTGTATACTTTATTGAATTATTTTCTAATAATTTTGTGCTAAATAATATAAAATAGTATTCTAAGTTTGCATGGAAGAAATTGCTACGTAGCAATTACAGGACAAAAAAAATTTATCCAGCTAAATTACTTTTTCCGTGGAATATTGTAACTTACGCTCATTGGATTTGCGACCACTAAATTTCACTTCGAACGTAACCAACGAAAAAAACATCGCCATGAATTACAAGAAAAATACTTTTTTAGAAAAATACTGAAATTTTTACACACAAACTGAAACTGACTACAACTGCTAAAGACTTTTAAGCTTCCAAATATGGACTAATGTAAAGATAAGACCACGCAATATTTCTACATTTCTAAATTTTGTATAGAGTGAAACCTCCTCTTTCCAAATATAGTTTGTAGGGGCCCAAAATCCATAACGCGCTGTTAACTTAATTTTAAGCCGTTTACATACTGTATAAGATTATCGTAAATGTAATTTAATTTTTTTCTTATGTTGTATTATCGTGACAAAACTTTTTAAATTAATTATTATTTATCAAGTTTTTTTTTCGGATTTAAATTGCATATAGTTGTATATTTTTGAAACAAACTAGCGTTTCAAGGTTACAAGTCCCTCAGGGTCAGGGCTGACTGAGATGGTAGCCTGATATGTCCAATATTGAAGTGAACCATTATACTCTGAACTATATTGACATGTAATTTAATGACAACAATATTATGGTTAATGAATTGTTAATTTTGTAATTGTTGTGTATTTTTCTTATAATTTTCATTTTTGTTTGACGATCTCAATATAATTTCTTATAGTTTGATATGTAGGGCAATTTATACTGTAATGTTATAACTGAGAAATAAATGAATATGAATCTGAATCATTTGTTTTTTTTTGTGTAAGTACTCCACTAGTAAGTTTTTCTTTTTTTTTAAGAAATGTGAGTGTGTTTTTGACCTCCATGTTTGTTATAAACTCAAAGAAAAATTGCTTCGTTCTGGCTGGACTCTATATTCAATACGGCACAGAAGCCGTTAAAACCGAAAATAAAGACCTTCAGCGAACACATAAGAGACATTCGAAGTTCTGCTGACCCGTCCCGAAGCTCTGCTGGGAGATCGATTTTAAGTGAAGCGAAGTTAGGCGAAAATGTCGCTGATTCGAATCTAGCGAGACCGAGAAGAAATTTCTTGAATTTGTTCGATCTTTGTACTACATATATGTAATTGCAAAAGTTAAAATTAATAGTATTTCATGCAGTCGTTGCATAATGAGGGTTCTTAATGTCGAGGCCGTGAGACCTAAATAATACTTACGAGATTTTAAGACCTAAATATCACAATTTTATACCAATTTATTTTTAAACAATCCTTTAATTATACAAAGGTAAGATAAAGGCAAATTTATTTCAACATAAGTTAATCTAATACAATCCAAGTAAAACATTAAAATAATATGAAAATAAGCATTAAGAAAGGGACTTAAATTATACGATAGGAAGATTGTATGATTTAGGTTAAAATTTAGTTAAAACTATGTATATACATTTTAAGAATCTCATTAGAACCTAATGTGTAATTGCGACGCCCAAACTAAGTAAATGTATCTGTGTAATGATTGCATACATAAATTAAAATAATGAAACACAAACAGTATTTAAAGATTATTTCTTAACAATCTACGACATCAAACTCAAACTGAAAACTAAACAAACGCTACAAAACAAAAAACCAATGAGATAGAATAGAAAGAGAGGCAATAGAGCATTCGAGTAACGTCTTATTTGATATTTTGTATTGTTTTTAAATAATTATTTTTTGATAAATGGTTACGCTTCCCATTTAACAAATGTAAAATTTTGACATATTATTTAATAAAATAATTTGAAGTTTGATAATCTCACAAATATAAATATAACATAATAATGTTTAGGAACTCAGTGAAGCGTTTAAGGAGATTCTTTTAATTAGCAAGAATACGATGTACTTTTTTTGAAACGCATTATAGTCCCGTCTACAGAACTTTAATACTCTAATACTCATAAAAATATATAGAAATTTTCAGTTCAGTAGCGATTACCATAGACAATAGAATTTTGGTATAGAACTAAAAATAACGCCATTGTGATATGGTTTATGAAATTTCCAGATTATGGTACAGGATTAGGAAGAAAAAAATTATATTAACAAATTTTCCGATTAAAATAGCCTAAGACAATAGCAAGAAATTACATTGAGAAATTAAATAAAACTAATTAATAGTACATATAAACTATGCGAGTTTTATAATTATGTTAATGTTTGCTACTGTTGAAATAGTAACAATAAAAAAAATATTTCATTGCGTTAATCTAATGTTCACACCACTTAGACGCTTATCAGTCGCTTTCGTAAGTTAACTTAGATTGTTTAAACGAGCTTTTGTCAAATTGTAATTGCTATCACTTTCACCTATTAATGTTTCACTTTTTTATTATTATTATCTTTTTATGATCTTAAGTGTCATTATGTTTATATGAGAGGTTGTTATTTTACGTAACTACTACATTATATCCGTTCATTGTTTCCTTATTTTTGAATAACAGAAGATAGAAAATCGCTTACCTATAAAGGTTTCGAAGAAAACATAACAAAGTGTCAGGCGGTAGAACAAACCATCGTAAAGAAAATTCGTTTATAAATTACTGTCACACAGAGTCCACGTTAGCACTTTATTTAATTTTAAAGGCAGCATTTCAATTTGCAATGTCAAACAGCGCCGTAAACAAATGTTTTTAAATCACTAACTTAGATTGCAAAAAAAAAATGTCAATGAACTTTGCAAAATAATGTTGTGCACGATTGCGTCTCGTATTTATTCCGCTGTTTTTTTTGTCGCATGCGTCCCGGGACGCTTGCGGTAGCGGCCGCGTGCGCCGGATAAATGGCAAGCTTGCAGGTGCCACTCGCACGGCACACATGTATTGCACGGGAGATACCTGCTCCATTGAAACGAACTTGCGAAGCTGTTAATTACTGATTTTATTAAAATGCGACGCATGCTGTTTTTTTAATTATTTTGGGGTAGGTACTTAAGTCTCCGGCGTAAAAGAAAGTAGAACGGCTATTATCTTTAGTATTTGTTGATTTATGATATTTATTTATAAATTTTGAAGAAACAATTATTATTGTAGAATATTGTAGTTTGGGGTACACACAATAAACAATTATGAGTCCTAGTAAGGAGAAACTAATTTCAATATTTATCTTAAAACGTTTTAAATGTACGGAAAGGTCGATAATGACAATTTTCCATAACGATGTTGGCAGCCCAAGAAGTAAAGTTTTTAATAGTTTGCATGCTATTAACGTGAACCCTATATGGTTAAGTAACTGACCGTTACGTTTAGCACTTAGAAAAATAATTATAATAAGAATGTAGTAATATTTACAAAATTCTAATACTAAAGTACAAAAAAACTTTTTTTGACCACCCAGCCACCACCCAACCAGTTATGTCTAATATTACCACTGACTGACTTTACCACCTCAGTTAACCGTGACCATGGGACCTGCAAAGGGCCCGAAACGTTGGTTTGTTTGAAAAAACACATATTCGCGATTTAAATCCGGAAAAATAGTTTCATTTCCTACGTGTAACAATCGCGAAAACCTAAGAACTCGATAGTAATGTAATTTCACAAAAATAACTGAATATTATGATAGTAAACCATCATAATATTCATAACAATCAATATGGTAATAAAATTTTGAATATCATGAAATGTTTATGTACACTACCTGTTACTATGAACTGAGACTCGTGAACAGCTTCAAGATGCATTAAAATGTTGTTAAATGAACAGTGCAGCAATAAGCGTAAATTTCGCACATCCTACCTAACCTAATGATTCCCTTAAATGGTATACCGGTGATTTTACGCAGGAAATAACCCCAATGGAATAGTATTTTATTATTCCTATTATTATATTGATCCGAGATACTTTGTAGCACCATAACTTATTCAAAGTATGTATCCATCCAACTAGTGTAGTGTTAGTGTACGATTATATCAAACAGTGCCGTGGACACTGAACAAAAATATCACACGATAAAAGTGTATTCGCCTTAACATGTAATAAGAAATTATCCAGTTAGTGAACTGTTACTTTAATTTGTTTATTTATTAGATTAGGTGAAAGGTAAATTGCGTATTAGTCTTGCATTTGGCTAAATTCTAACGTACATTCTGTTTTCCTGATGCTTAATAAATAAATGAAAATACCAAGTGCCGGGACGATCAATATGACCGATCGCACGAGCGCACGAGAGCTTGAAGCTAAACGACACGTCTCTCCAATGCAGTGCCACTCAGAGCTTTAAATCGCAAAGATATGAGGGGCACTGCGACTACGCTCGTCGTCCTGAGACTTAAGTTAACAAGTACCTTGTGCCTGTAATTTCACTAGCACCTTCAAAACCGACACGTAATAATGCTGCCATTACTGCTTGGCAGCAGAAATAGGTAAGGTGGCAGTACTTCATTAAACGAATTTTTTCACAAATAGCTCTAGTGCTACTAAATCCCCATCATGTTGTTTCATCACTTCTGCCAAATATTTCTATATAATGTCATTATAGCACCTGTTATATCTTTATAATTTCATATTTGAATTTAATTTTGTAGAATTAGTTTGTATTGAATTTTAAATTATTGTTTAGCCTCCAATTTTGTTAATAAGAAATTCAATAGAGATGGTTTGCTCGGGGCCAGAATCGATTTTATTGTGATTGATGTGCGCCATTTGAATAATTTGTTTTAACCGACTCACTGTACACAAGGATTTATTCAATTATAACCTCAATAATTATTAGGTATTGTGAATAATTTTGGCCACCGGCAGTTTAAAGTAGATAATTCAAAACATAATAACCATCCTGTCCACTGTATTTTTATTCGTTAAATTTTATTTACGTATGTTAAGACAATTATTAAAAAAAAGTAATCTTAGACCTTTTTATTAGGTACCCATTATATTTTATAACTTCATACATCGATGTACTCTTGCACAGACAATAAACTGATATTCGATAGAGGTGATTGTCCATTGATATTCCTGCAATTTGTTCTACATAACCTAGAGGTCGGATTCACTGAATGCACTTATGTTAAAAAAAAAACCCGCGATTGAATCCACCGGGATTGATGAAATGAAAATTGATTACGTACAAAATGGAAATTTTTTTTGGATTTTTACAAAACGGAAATTTATTTCATTTATTTATGAGTTTGGGTGTAATTTGTGGCTGTCTCTGTGTGTGTCCATGGCACCCGAGACACGGGTTTCCCTAGTGCGGGGCTATGTTGAGTGTGTACGTTATTATTATTATTGTTATTATTATGTTTATCCACACTTTTTTTTTTTTTTAAAGTAATACACATTATAGTGAATAATACCTCCTTCTGAAATCCCGAAAGGATTAGAAATAATTAGATAAAGAGATTTTTATCAATTTTTTTTATTATTATTTTTTTAAATGCATTACTACAGTAATGTAATTGCTATTAGTTACATGTCAAAAATATAGAACAAAATACAATAGAATAGTTCAGGTATTTGAAAGGGAGGTATTATGCACTCTATGGGTAATACTTCTTAAAAGTTTAGGTATTAATAAATATAAATATATTTTGTCTATTTGCATAATTTGATATTGAAACAATTTTATAATTGAATTCTCCTATAAAGAACCAATTTTAAACTGTTATCCCTATTATTTTCCCCCATGCTTTATTTTTTAAATAATTTACTCCTTCAAATAATGGACAATAAATGATAATAACTAATTGCAGGTTTCTTACCATGGCATGAGTTTTTTATTTTACCGATATTCGGAACAGTTCCACGCTCCAATGGTCACGGGCTGACTGAGTTTTGAGTCAATTAGAGAATAACCACGACAGTCTTAAAATCTATAAGTCTACAATTTATTAAAAAAAAAACTTGGCAGCGGTGGGATTCGAACCCACGCCTCCGAAGAGACTGGTGCCTTAAACCAGCGCCTTAGACCGCTCGGCCACGCTACCATCTGCCTGTATAGCTGAAATATGCGTACCTACTGTTTCCCTTGTCGCACAGAGCTACATATTCTGTGGGTAGAATTATATATACGCTTAAATACGTACAGTGGCTTTTTAACATATAGATATAGAATGTAACAAAGATAATGAGAACAATTTCAGAAGAAAATGCGTTGCGAAAATATATTTTCGTTCTCTATACAATGAACACCAATTGGCCGCGCATTTGCGCATGCGCGACAGTTATTTATATTCACGAATTGTTAACATTGTTTTATTATAAAATTGTTCGTTACTTACTATAGAATAAAGATCATAATACTCTATACGCACTTTGTATACGTTTTTAAACAACTTCAAAAAAGGAGGTTCTCAATTGGACTATTTTTTTTGTGTATGTTACTCGATTACCTCCACTCGATTACTACCATTTGTGAACCAATTTTGATGATTCTTTTTTGTAAGAAAGGGTGTTGTACCTCAATAGTAGTCGAAGTCAAATTTGAAGAAAATATTCCACCTCTAAGGGTGGCAAACAAGATATAATAAATAATAAATAAAAAGGGTATGGCTCCGGTTTATTGGATTGACTGAGACTGTCATTTTGATTAAGTCGTATACGAATGACATACAAATACAGCAAAATTTTGGAGATAAATTATTAATATAACGCAATTTGGACATAAAATATAAAATAATGGAATTTTTGAGATAATACTATGTTAGTTGTCAAGTGCGATATAATCTTTCGATTCTACAGAACGTAGTTGTGTGTATATTTATATCGACTTTATTACCCCATTATCAAGTTGAAATGGGTCAGTTGTTGTGACGTCTTTATCTGCAACATGCTAGTAAGTATTGGAAGCATAGCTGATGGCCTAAGGTAATTGATCCTCTAGCCGACCTTTTGATTCTGAGAACCTTCTTACGCATTTATGGTTGAAATTGGCTTAAAAACTTTCTAAAAATGTCATTCACTAATGATGAAATAATGAAGTCATACCAAACTGAACTTTACGCTCACGGATTAAAGGCCAAATTTGTTTTGTTATGATTATTAATTCAAAGATCGAACTCATAAAATAATTTATTTGACCCGGTGGGACTTGTACCCACGACCATGCTGCACCGTAGCATTGCTCTTATCAACTGAGGCACAGGTCAAGTTACCGAGCTGTTAAAATTCTCCTATGTGGTTTTGGTACAGATCTTTGTACTGGTTTTCTACATTCGTCGCTGCTACTGACATATATAGTGAGATAATTTTGAAAAAACCTTCTCACCGCAGCCGCCACCTTTACAGGTGCCTCATCTGACGCAAATGTCGCTTTTTGATCAAATGTATTGTTGAGGTTTTTTTGTGAAATAACTCCACTAGTTTTGTTATGATTATTAATATAAAAAATGAACACAGAAACATTTCTTCGACCCAGTGGGACTTGAACTCACGACCATGCACTGTCACATTGTCACAGTAATCTCGTGGTAGAGGCAAAATACCTCTACCAAGATTACAGTGACAGTTATCGCTAGCGACCGCGTTAAATGTTTGTCATCGAGTATATAACCAGAAATAGAGACGAAATGTCATTTAATTTGTTTGAAAACTATTCTGCTCTACCATTACGGTGACAACTGCGCTCCGATTGGCCAGTCCGAATTCGAAACAATTGACGGGTTTCGTCAATTATTTGACTTGAAATCTACCAGTTTAACTTGATTTTTGCTATAATGGACGAAAGTTGAAAAATTACATAATTTAATATTAAATACCGATAAAATGTG